AGTCTTTATTTTACAGTTAAAGTATATGTTTATCATATAAAGTCTAGTGTTACAACTAATCGGGGATCCCTTTAATAAAGAAACCAAACCAGGGATTTATGTGTAATTTCAAATCAAAGCAACATTACATAACACTTACATTCAGGTATTTACTGAAGACGTTTTGACCCAAATTTTACCTTCAGTGACAAGTGCTTCTTTTTTTGTCTCAACAACAGAGTGATTCACAAAAAAACAAGTTCGAACAAAAATACATGTGGGCACAGCAAGAGGAGCAGAGGGAAGGTGTTGGTGACGTCGTCGCTGAGTGTTAATAGTATTAGTGTTTGTAACTCAGCACGTCCATATGACAGGATGTGTCACGGGTGCCGATTCTCGTCACAACCACTAAATAAATACTGGTGTTAAGTACACGAATCATTCTACTGTGCTCACATTTTAAAGGGGGTGGGGGCGATAGACTAAATAAATTTGTATTTCTGTACAATGAGTCCCATAACCCTAAATAAGGAGAAAAGTCCTTTACTGCATGTAAAACCAAAAAAAAAGAAAAAAAAACAGAGCAGTCCCAGCCTGCAGGCGCTCGGTCCTCCACCCACACAATTCCCTTCAGTAATAAAGAAATTTCCTCTGAAAAAGTCCGACTTTAACATCAGTCTGTACTTGAAGCAGAGCAGCAGAGGTGAGTAAACACAGGAGAATATGAAAAAAAAACTTGATCTTTTGGCTTTTCAATTCTCAGCAAGAAGCCGGAGGCAGACGATGAAACTGATATTAGTCAGACGCTGGCTTTATCACCTTTTTTTAATGACCCAAATAATCTGCTGCTCCTCACACACCAAACACTGGGAGCCTCAGCCTTGGGAATACAAGCAGCAATGCTGACAGTTATTCAAGCAAAAGTATATGTTTAAAAAAAGTTTTAAGGTGGTTCAGCCATTAATCTCAGCTGGGAGTTTGAAGTAAATTTTACCTCAAACTCCCAGCTTTTACCTGGTAAAATCTGATGTYGTTGTAGTTTCAGGGTTTGACCAAAGAGACTGCAAATCTGACTTCAGCATGAGATAAGCTTTTTCCGAAACTCTGGCATGAAAAACAGAGAACAATATGCATTCCTTTACTAAATGCTAGCCCTTTAATTAGATATATTTCTCTWACTAGACACATTTGTATTCTTACAGAACTCATCTAATCTACCATGGAACTGTTAGTCTGCTATTTGTGAGTAACATGCCGCGCCCTGATTGTGCAAAATCATGTTTGTTGAATTAAAAACTGATTCCATCTTCAAAAAAAAAAAAAAACACGCAAACATTTTACTGAATGGTTAGACGCTGCTCAGCTGCCACACCTGTAAACAATGAACACTAATTGCGAGACTAGCAGCAGCAGCAGCTTGTGGTCCTCTAGTAGCAACTGGTGCAAGCATAAAACTGGGACAGGGCAGAGCTGAAGCTGAAGCGTTCAGTCCAGGTTTAGCCAGCTTGTTTTGAGGCGTGACATCTGAGAAATATTGAGTGCTGCCTCTCAGTTACCAGCCATGGCTTCTGGACCCACTTTGTGGTGATTGTTAATTGTTCATGTCGCGTTTTACTCAACTGACTTCTAAAGAGGAAAAAATGTTTAACTTGATCTTTCTGTTTTGCAGGGTTTCCTATATTGCTTTATGGCTGGGTGCTGAAGTTGCTCTCTCAATTGGAGGTAATTTCATTATAAGTACAACAAGCTTTAATCAATGGTTTCATTTTTTTTAATGTGTGTTTACTTTGCAGTTTATAGATACACTGCAGATAACCAGAACCTTAACAATGGAGATTCTAAACCTGTGGAATTCGATGAGGGTGCGCTGACAAACAACCTAGCTGGCTTGCTTCCCCCAAACTACATCCAAACTTCAGTGAAACAGCCACCAAGTTTGATCCCAGCCGGCCAATCACCAGCTAACACTGGAAATGATAATAGCATAGAGCAAATTGTTAATGGTGCAGCAAGAGAGTGGGATTCAAACCTCTTCGAACCGATCACATTTCCCCTGCAACAAAATACCTGGACTAAGTCAACCCCTCCTATTTTTACAAGCGCAACGTTTGTCTCTCCGAGCCTTGCTGAAGGCAGTTTTGAAAATCAAATCTTAGCCGCTAAGCCCGTTGAAGCCCCCCCTTCTGTGGCTGCCTCATCTCCTAGKTTTCAGTCTCTGCAACCTGCAAGTCCCGTGGCTGCTGGAGGTTCCCTGAACCAGCAGCGCTACACTACTTCCAGTRCAGGAGCTGACTTGAGTAAACCTGTTCTTGGAAGGCCTTCAGGTAATTCTGAAGAGCCTCTGTCTTCAGGCTTTAACATTTTAGGATACAGCAGCACCCCAACTAAAAATGGCCTCAAACTGGAGCAAGTGTCCAAATATCCCAGTGTTTCTAAACCTCAGCGCCCTGCAGCCTTGAACACTGACTGGTTCGACTGGGGTAACTACGTCACTGATGGTTCAGATGGCTATGGTTTTCCTTCCCGGAAACCCTCATTTCAAGGTCCAGCAGGTGGTCTGCCTTACTACAGAGACTGGGACTGGATGGGCTACCCTTTCTCTGGCTTTGGAGAAGATGACCTGTACTTTGGTCAAACGGCTCTGCAGCCTCAAAACTTTGTGAGAAACACTGGTCAATACTGGATTCCTCAAATGAGCTTTGCTCGGAGATCTAAGCCAGCCAGACCTCGCAAAAACTTCGTCGTCCGCTCTAAAAGTGGCTACCAACGAAAGCGATTTCTGCAGTCCAAAACCACTTATGTTCCAGGATTTAAGATGCCACAAAAGTATGCTCCAGTATATGAAACTTCATGGAGGTACAGCAAAAGTCCAACCCCTTTCAGAGGCCCTGCACAGAACTTTATCAGACTTGTGTAAGATTAATTTTCCTCAAGGAAAATGTAGGCAAGACCTCCAAGGTATGTTCAATTAATCTTTGACTAAATGTTTCATGTTAACATGTCAAATTACTGTTAATCACAGCTTTTTTTTTTATTTGCAGAATGACCTGCATCCAAGATGACCATGCAAACTTTTAAAAATTTAGAAACCTTTAATAAAAA